ACCTTTTTAACATGAGAAAAAAAGCAGCTGGAGGACAGGGGAAACCAAGACTGTCTGACTGGGCCGCCGCAGCAATAAAGCTGCCGGCATTATCCATTGTCTCCGTCTTCACCGCGCAACTTGCCCTGACACAAGTGGCTCACAACAAATGCAAAATATATAAATAAACAATCTAATAAGCAGGGGGCTGTGGGGAAAAGGCACACAATTTCCATTGTGGAGCGCGCTTTATTTGGCCCTTATCTACTGGGTAGCGAGCGCAAAAGAGGCGTCGTGTAAGCATTACGATTACATCGTGTGGGTTTGTTACCCAGGAATGTAAGATGCACTCAGCTCATTCTGCTGTGCAGCACACAGGGTCCCTCACCAGCCCTACAAAGCATCTTAAGTGGAGAGGTCTGAGGGACCAAGACGCATGCAAGGATAATCTTATTAGCTCCGCTGAAAGCAAGTGATGGGCTGTGTTTGTAAACTGTTTGTCCTTGACAAAAAAATATAAACACCCCTCATTTCCACGCGATTTCCAATTCCTAGTTTTGTGCACTTGTGATAGCGCTGCACATTGTTCAGTGATGGAATAATATTATGATGCCCTACCTTGTTTTGTTTTTTAAGATTGTAAGGCAGAAAAGTAAATATTTTTCCCCATGCAGCGTTCATGAGATGATTAAAAATAACGAACCAATAAATGATCCTAATAAATTTATCAACTTTATACTTTACAAAACTTTATAAAACATGGTGGGACTCGCACATTGTGCTTGTGCACAATATGAAAACCGATAAATGACCAATAATCTGAATAGTTTTAGAAGTTCACATCTTAAAAAAGGGTGAGAAAGACTAAACCAGTCTGAATGTGCATATTTGGACTTCAATGTATGTGTGTGTGCGTGTGTGTGTGTGGCGGGGTGTGACTAAATCCAGCTAAATGGCCCTAACTTGGGGGGCTGGTCCCCGTCAGCTGTAGCCCAGACTTAGTGCCATCTGGGCACAATGTTAAGTTGCACTGGTGAATGGAAGCCACAGCCACCAAATCCCCAATCCTCCCTCCCCTTCCCCTTTGCCTTCCAGGGCCAAGGGCAATCCATAAGTGCAGTGTTGAACACAGCATAGAAACCTAAGTATGTGGTTTCCGCAGAGAGTCATTGAGTTCGGGAACACCTCCTCAGTGGGGATTTTGAACCAATGACAGGTCCTCCAACCACCAGCAAGCACCTCCACTGTCTCCTTAAGGGGCCTCATCCCCTCATTGACCTTATCCAATGCAAACACATGCAGCCGGAGCCAGCGCATTCTGTTTTATTGCTATATTCAGCTAATCTTGCTGAAGGACTTGGACTCCTCCTCCTCCCCCATCGCCCCTCAGTGCTTTAGTTATTCCAGCTGTGCAGGAGCCCTTAATGTTGTTGGCATAGCTGCAAAACGTGCAAAAACACACAGGAAAACATGTGCAGGCATGCAGGGGCAAAGTGAAGAGGCGCGCACACACACACACACACACACACACACACACACACAAACACAGTCTCACGCTCCACCCTTTCTCCATTCATTTTCTCCCTCTCTTATCCCACTTTTGCTCACAATCTCGCTCAATCGTCTCCATCTCCCATCTCTCCCCTCCCCTCTAACTCGCTGCGCCGCGGTGCGTTTGTGCCGTGTTGATAAGCCTAAGATACCAGATCTCGGTGGTCGCTGATGTAATGATGATGAATGCTGTGGCATTGCCAGTCTCCCCCCTTGAGGGGCCCTCCTCACTGAACGGTCGCCCTAATGAAATGAACACAAATACAGTACCTCGCCTGTGAGGGGGGGTTGCCAAATCTAAGAAGACACTTCAAGAGTTTATATAGAAATGTCCCCTATAGTTTCTGAGTGTGTGTGTGTGTGTACGCGCATGTGATCTCAGTGATGGAAAGCACCTTAAGCAGTTTCATTAAAGTAAAGCTTGTAAAGACGTTGCTTCTAAATAACAAACGGTCGTGATTTTTGATGCTGTTAGCAGCTCGCAGGAAAKAAYAAAAAAAAAAAAAAGAACAGAATTTTTTTTCTATCAAAGCCAAAAGTTTATTTTGGTGTTACACTTTGATGTGCACAATTTGCAGATGACTTTCAACTGACTGCCTTTGTCACCGAGGCGTATAATTTATGTTAAATTGATTTGCTTAATGTGCTTATAAAATAAGAATGTTTTTTTTCTGAGGGAACTGTCTGAATTGTGGTATTTTAAACCTGTTTAATCGCCTCCCTTTCTGTGTGGAAGGATTACAGTGGAGCACAAATAAAGATACGCCCTCTTTCTCTCTTCTCTAATTGGGTGTAGGACTGACATTTCATGGGAAAGACATTAATATGAAATTAACATTTATTTTTGGTCACAACCGCAACCAGTGCCTCGTCGTGATGTTGTCTGATGCAGGGTCTGAACGGACGTCTCCTCACAGATGGTTACTACACCGCTGCAGAGGAGGTGATGTTTTAAACTCTGACAGTTTGTTTGTTCTTAAGCAAATTACACAAAAACAAGGACTTGTATGAGATTTGATGGAAACATATTGAGTCAGGGAGGAAACCATTAAGTTTGGGTTCAGATCCAGATCAGGGGACGGATCGAGGATTTGACACAATGACATATTTGACGTTTTAGCAGCAAATAAATCATGGATCTTGATGAAAAAAATACTTTATATTGAGGAGACTGAGCTATGAGTGTGTTGAATTTGGTGCAGCTTGATTGAATTTAAGTGGACTTTTGGTGTAGGTATGCTTGAGTGCCATTCAAATGTAAATGTCTCTGAAAATCTGATATCTGCTTATGAGTGGACTGGAGTTTGTTTCTTCAGTGCGGGGTCAGAGTGACACAGTGAAAATGATGCTCAAACTGCAAAATGACATAAAAACACCAAAACAGTCACATCAGTTCTTTGCTTTGATGAACTGTAAACACAGATGGAAGTGCCTTCGTGTTGGTGGGACATGGACGAAAATGAGCAACACGAAAGGCAAAGACATGAACATCTGCAGGGATTGGGTGTGGGCGTCCAGGTCAGAGGGATTATGGGTGAAAAGGTCCTGCTTTTAATTGCTGCTTTGGAACTGTGGCCTGCCTTGTGGAGCACAAAAGGCCGGTCAGACATGCTTCAGTGGCTCGGACTTGTGAATATTTGCCTGACCGGTGGAATGCCCCGCTTTTTCCACAGCTCGCCTACAAACCCCCCCCCACCCTGGTCCTGATCATCGTATTCAGTGCACTCTCAGCTCCCACTAGCTCTGGTCTGACTCACCTGGGGGCCACAAGAAGACTCACACTAAACACACAAGACATTTTAGGAGCCATTCTTAAACAGCTGCATAGTAGCTCCTCTCTTGGTTCCTCTCCCCTGCACTGCTTTTGCTCAGGTTCAGTAATTAGAGTGATGTAATGGCAGTTAAGTTTTCTCTGATCATTTCAGGTCCTTGAAATAAAAGTAAAAAAACAAAGGCGTCTGTGATCAGATATGAGCAGAGCAATTGACAAATGTGCACATGCAGACATTCATGCACTGCACATATTCTTACAATTAACTTTGCTCATACCACAAAGACCCCCAGAAATGAAAGCATCCCCTCTATCAAATGCACGCAACAGTGATTTGAGATGATATCTGTGCAAGTAGGACAGAAAAATCTTTGGTTATGGATGACGGCTACACATGTATGCATGTGGGAGTGATTAGAGGACAAGCTCTTGTTTAATTCTGTTTTGATTGGTAGGGGAGTAATTGCATTGTGTTATTTTTTTCCTTTTCTTTTTTTGTAAGCCAGCAATTGCTTACAGATGTTGTTGCCGGGTCAGAATGGATGACAGACTCTGGTTTTTCAGGGGGTTGGGAAAAAAAACAAACAAAGCGCACAGTGTTTGTCTGAAGTTTACCCCTCACCACTTCCCCCTCGCTTTCCCTCCTTGGGGAGTTGGTAAAAACCTGCCCCCCCTTCCTCCCCACCACCCTTCTCTTGTAGTTTCAGCAGCACGCCTCTGTTTGCATTACAGCCGACTCTACTCCTGGCCTCTTATATCCGTGAATGTTTATAGGTTGGCCGACAATTAAATAGCACAGGTGGGGAATTAGCTTTTCTTCATTGGAAAGAAAATGTCACTCAGACTAAATATTTCCATGAATTATGGCGGCTAAGTAAAGGCTTTACATTGGACCGATGAAGCTGTCCTGTACTTTGTGCAAATAGGTAGTTGTGGTGCATCACCATGTAGTCTCCATAATCAGACACCTCCATGACCTAGATAGAGTTGAGTTTGTAGACGGCCTCTGAGGTGCTGAACTGAGCAGCATGTCTGCAAGACTGTTGGCTGAACCCCCTTCTAAACCCACAGACAGTATTAACTTGAACCACCTTTATTCTTTGAAAGAAAAATTGCCCGGCACCATGAGATTCCCAAAAGGGCCTTCAAACAACCCTTGTTTTTTTTCCAGGACTGTGAATGTTTCTCACTCTGTGGTATCCCCTTAAGGTTTCTGCTTTCTCTCTGGAAAGACTGCTAGAGCAGGATTATCAGTGTATCCACAAGCTACTTCTCCTCTGATATGTAAGACATAGTCAGGATGTCCTGCCTCTCAATGTTTTAATTCTGAAGTCAGAAGAATAGTGTGACATAGTTGAAAACCAGTTCATTTATATTTTGGTTTGGGTTATTTAGTTGCTGGACAAGATAACAGCCCGCTCCCAAGCAGATCAGAGCCCAGCAGGTTTGAGCTAAAATAAATGAGGGTGAGTTTCTGGGCTGACCCCTGGTCTGCTCTGGGCATCGTGGAAAGAGAGGATTGGATCTGAAGTTTTCCTCACAAGGTTCCCAGTGTTGAAGTCTTGTCTTGAGGCGGTCTATTGATAAAATGTTTAAAATGTGGTGGATCAAGCAAGAAGCAAATAATGCAGAAATCACCCACATGCTTTATTCTGGTTTTACAAGTGGAGAGATGACTAACTTTATTTTTCTTCAACAGTTACCTCGTCTCCATGAGTTGTTGAGGAATGAGCGATCGCCATGGAAAACCAGTCGCAGGCCAGTTCAGCAGCTGAGAAGAAGAAGAGAGTTGAGACCATTGTGGCGACCAAGGGCTCATCATTGCGCAATGACATCAGCGAGAAGGCCGTGGCTTCCAGTACCACCTCAAACGGTACGCATCGCCTCTAACCCACACCCAGCCCCTTCACATAAATATAACTTTGGTCTTTGGGAACACACAGAGTTTTAAGGCGATTCATTTGTCAGCTCACCATTTAAATAATGGCAACAAAGGCACAGCTGCTGTTAAGCAGTTTTTTCTTCAAATAATAATTGCTCCTGATAATTTCCAGTCTACCTGCTGATGTTGTGTAGTGCGATGGAATATTAGAGCCATATTGAAGAAAATAATTCTGAGATGACAAGAATAAAATTGAAATTTTATGACAATGAAGTTGTGATTTAGCAGAAAAAAAATCACAATATTACAAGAATAAAGTCTTAACATAAAAATAAAGTCGTAATCGAGAATACAGTTGTAATCTAATGAGAATTTATAATAATACTAAAATCAAGGAAACGTTTTTTTTTCTTCAATGTTAAAATTACGACCATATTCTCAAACTATTATGACTTTATTCTTGTAACTTTTCTCATAAAATTATTACATTTTTCTTGTAAAATTGTGACTCTATTCTCATAATTTTTCCACTTTTCTCATATTTGAACTATTATGACTTTATTCTCAAAACCTCAGAATGCCCCCCCCCCCTTAAGTGGCTGTAATTTTCTGTCTTTGTGAAATAAACCCACGATTTTAAGACTATTAAACAGAGTCACAGAGGCGTACAGGTTCTCACTGCTAAGTACTTTGTTGATGCGTCCCAGACCTGTCAGGATGAAATGAAGGCGTGGCTACAACACGTCATCTTCTGTCTCTTTACATTGTTTAGCTTCTGGGCGACTCATCTACTGAGGGACCGAGGAATGCTTTTCTTTGTACCCGGGCTCTCATCACTTGAAGATGAAACTGACCATTTCTCAAAAACATGATTTAAAGACGAAGACATGCACGGATCCTTTTCTTCTGACTGTTTACTTTTCCCTGTTCTCAGGCTTCACCGTGAGTCACATCCAACGCTCACTGGTAGCAGAACTCTGGCATGTTTACATAGCAATGTCTTCAACACATGCTATTAAAAGTGGTGTGGGGCTTACAGTTCATTAGGCCTTTCGTCATTCAGCCTTTCATTCTCGATTCAGATGCCGGAATCAGGAATATTAGAAGCCAGTGTGTGTGTGTGTGTGTGTGTGTGTGTGTGTTTCTTTTTCTACTGGAAGCCTCGGAGCATCAAGCTTAAGTCATAACAAAACCAGAGTTGAGATCACCACAGTCTAAGCTGCAGCTGTGCTCATTAGCAGTGAGAGGATTTGGATGGTTTTGTGTACGGTGGGTCGGCTCTTGTAGCTGGAGCTGGTGGCCTGATAGAGTTTTCTGTCACCCCCCCCCCCACACACACACTCTGCTGTTGTCAAATATGATCACCGCAAGTGTGAACAGCAGACAAACCGTTTGGGGAAGGGTAAATAAACTGCTGTGACACGGTCCCCATATGGGAGTTATCGCAGGATATGGGTAAGGCAATGCATCCTGAGGCATCATGGGAACACTCACTCTTACTCACTCCCAGATGGCCAGCACGGTTTTATTTATTAAAAGGGCAGCAAGGGAAAAAAAAAATTTGTAGAAAAAGAATGGATGCAATTTGGCTCCGTGATTGTGGATTTTTTTTCTTCTCTGTAATGTTCCGGTAATTGCAGCACAACGTTTGTCTGGAAAACTTTCCTATACTGACTCAGCTACGCCGGACAGCGTTGCACTCCCTAAAATACAGTACACTCATAATTCACTTGAAGATGGGGAGGGATGATACTTATCTGTGCAGAAAGGTCCCTTTTAGATCCCAATCTTGGAATCATAAGATAGCTTACACATTCTTTGTGTGGTTATAATTACAGCGCATTCCCAAGTCGCCCCCAGAACTCATAACCTCTTATCAGGTGTAACCCTACACTCGCCTCAACTTTAACCCCCGTAGCCCTTGCCCTGCTGCCTCCGTGCAAACAAAAGGTAATTGTGAGCAGCTGCGGAACCCTAGTGGCGGAAATATTTCCACCCGTCAAGCAGAGTGTAGCAGCCCCTGATCTCGCCACAGCGGAAACCCTGCGGTGTGCTCGGCAATAGTGTGGTACGATAAGTTGTGAAAAGTGGGAAATAAGTGTGAGGAGCAGGTGGAATGAACTTGGCGGATTTTTGGGATTTGGATCCGATCTTATCAGATCTTGTTGATGATCGGTGGCAACCTGAATCTGTTTGGATTGACAAAATCCCTTTTTTTTAAAAAATCTTTACTAAAAGTGCACCAGTAAACACTTGTGTCTTCCCCTCCTGTCCTGTAAGTTTTGTCCAAGTTGAGCAGCCACAGAGTAATTATTGAGTCCTGGTAGAGGGTTCCCACATGCTTGGCTAAATGGTGGCTTCATCCTGTGTGCCATTCATCTCTGTGCCCCCTCCTCTTGCACTGACAGCTCAAAAGGGCCGACTGTGCCACAACAATGCTGTGATTGGTGCTCTTTAGGAGGGGTTTTGAGGGGGGGGTGCGCTCCCCTCCTACCCTCATCATTCGGCAGGCAGGTGGACCACAAAGTCCTCTGATTCTTTTGTTGGGTCTCAAGCTTAAAAAAAAAAAAAAAGATGTCCTTGCCTGGAGAAATCTTGTCGTCATGGGATAATTTGCTAAAAAAAAAAAAAAAAAAAGAGAAAAAACATGGCGGGAGCTGAAAGGTTGAGGAGAAGAAAAGTTTCTGGTTGGCCGGACTTTTTTTTGATATGGGTGCTGCAAGGGAGCTAGTTTAAGTAACAGGATGAGACTTGAGGGGACAAACGGGACCCAGTGCAGAAAACTGTCATTGAACACTGTCTTAACACAACAGAGCTCCCGTAAAGCAGCTTGTGCAGTGGATGAGACGGGACCTTCTATAATGGCCGTGTGTAAAAGGGCAAGAGCAAGGGTCTCGGAGGCAAACAAGTTAAGCCTTAAAGGGCAACAAATGTTAGGCTTTGGTGTAGGTTACCAGAGAAATCCCTAAGCAAATGGAGAGCGTGGCTAAAGTGTTTAAAGAAGAAAAGGAACACTTCACTGCTTTGAACCCCCCCCTCCTCCTCCTGCTGACTGGGGAAGGGAGGGAAGAATGATACAGAGAGAGGGGAGAGATAGAAGAAGAGTGAGGGGCCACCTTCTTTTTAGGCAGCCATTTAAATGATCAACAGTAAATAGAGGGGAATGTCATCTGACAGAAATAAAGTTCCCGTTAACAGCGGGGATGGAAAGTAATTTACAGATATGCTGTCCCCGCCATCTTTGTGCCTCCCAGATAAGGTTTCATTTCAGAAACGGATAGGAGACATTTTCACTTAAGGGCCCCCATTCTGGGACACCTGTGATAACAGCTTGTGGACCCCTAATTGAAAATGGGTTTCAAAATGGATTTTCACTTTTCTTCCTGCCTCCTCTACCCCCTCCCTCATGACTACCCACCCCCCCACCTCCTCAACACCCAGCTCCATCCCTTGTTTCCTTGGCGTTCCCTCCTCGTTGGCAGAGGGAGGCAATATTGGAAAGAGGAAGGGAGGGAGGGAGAGGCTTTGGGGGGGGGGGAAATGGAGCGTTGGGAGCGGATCATCCCTCAGCTCGTGTCAAAGCTATGACAGCAGCGTGATCCGTCTTATTAATGAAATCATTGATCACTTGATGGGGCTCATAATCAACTGTTTCTCCGCTGTATCCTGCCCAGTCTCCTCCTCCTCCTCCTCCTCCTCCCTCCTAATCTCGCCACCTCTGCTTTCCACTTTTAAAAAGAAATCCCCCCTAAACAATGGTCCACTGTGGCAATCGGATCATTTCTGCAATGCTAAAGAAAATAGATGATTAATAAATTCATAAAATGAACATGAACACCCAACAACTGCCTGATGATAGATGCAGACTAGTAATTCAGCTCCAGGAGATCTGAAAAAGAATTGCAATAAATACAAACAGCTTGCTTTATTAAATTGAAATTCTTAGAGTTTACAAGCTGCCTGATATATTTTAGAAAAGATTTAGTGTATCACGACTGCTAAAAGGTGATCTCTGCCGTCTGTATTTGTGCTGTATGTATTTCATGGGGACCAGAGGAGGAAGTAGGGGCCCCTCTGTGTTGCCCTGCTCTGGGCTCTGCCTGTGGTGGCTAATGAGAGAGGACTGATGGAGGGATAAGGGACCTCATGGGAGCCCAGGCTGGCCCACAGGTCAAACAGCACAATGGAGGAGGCGTTATGGAGCCTGACACACAACCCCACACAGGAAAACTGGCTTTTAGTGTCAAAAGACCGCTCTGTGGTGCATAAATAAAACATACAAATACATTACAAGTTATTCAATAAACAAAACTACACTGAAGAAAAGAACGTATCCACAGTGTGGCTGTTTAAAATAAAAACATCATGAACTTAGACGAGGTATGAAACATAAAATCTACCTGTAGATTACTCTGAGTCCATGTGCACACACAGTGGATGTGCTCTGCCTTCACTGGTGAGCCACAGCCATTTCATGGACCTCTGCACTGAAGGCAATTTCCGGCAGCAGCAGGGGGACAGGCGTTTGGCAGCGCCACCTCACAGGGGCCCAAGGCGCAGGATTAGCTTAGCCTCGCTGCTAATCAGGGCGGAGGGGAACCTCAGCTGCTCAGCTCAGTCCAGCCCAGCCTGGCCTCTATTGTCTGGCACATTTCCGCCTGCCCAGAGCAGCCTGCTGGAGCTCCGCTGCTACTTCACTGCTGGAGGATGCACATAAGCCACCTCCTTTAGACTTATAGCATGCTGTGGAGATGTCGCCAGAACTTCACTGTAGTGGAATTGCATCTTCCTCTTTTTTTTGGTGTTCATCCTACTTGTTGACATTTTAACAAAAACTTAAAAATATTCCTTTATTTTTGAAGTTATGGTCGTGGATCCCTCAACTTTCTGCTAATATGCTGCCCCCTATTTGTGTGGAGTATGAATTTGAATTTAATATCACTAAGAATTCAGAATGTAGAATGACAGAATGTAATCTCAATTCAGTAATT